TTCTAGACGTGATATGGACACCCAAGCATTACTTGTAAGGTGCAACAGGCACGATATTCCTTTTACTGGGAGAAACCAGAAACACCCTCCTGCCTGCCACCAAGGAGAGCGATATCTGGCCTTTTTCTCAGCTAGGAAATATGTTCGTAAAAAATGGACAGAATGCAAAAAGTCAAGAAGCAAAAATGCAAAAAAATGCAAAAAGTCAAGAAGCAAAAATGCAAAAAATTGCAAAATAATGCAAAAAGTCAAAAATGGACACAATGCAAAAAGTCAAGCAAACATGCAAAAGAAATTGCAAAAAATGCAAAAAGTCAAGAAGCAAATATGCCAAAAAAATGCAAATGGACAAAATGCTAAAAGTCAAAGACAGAATAGCTTGTCAAGGCGATCTCCGTTTTGCCTTTTGCCACCTCTCTCTCGTCTTTGCATCCTTTTGGACCCTATTTATTTATTTCCATTAAATGTATTTATTTCCATTATTTCTCTTCTCCCCCTGAAGGGGGTGGGGGGGGGATGGACTCAGGGTGGGTCACAGGACACACATGTGGGGCTGAAAAGAGAAACAAAGCAGAGTCCCAAAGACTTGTAACAGGAGACACGACGGGTTAGGAGCCAGTTGCCGAGACAGCTGCTGCCGCTTCTGTCTGCTGATCAACAGGTGCCTCCCTCCCTCCGACCTTCCTTGTGTTTTGACTTGGGGTGTTGAAGACGGGGACGAGCCTTGAATGTGGACCGAGGGCATTCCTTTTGGCTGGCTCTCTTTTGGCAGGAATGCCGCTCCTCCTCGGCCGGTTCTGCCTGCCGTTCCCTCTTGGCCTTTGTCCCCATCACCTTGGCTTGTCTGTGGAGGAGAGTTAGACAATCAGACACAACACACAAGTCTGAAACACTCCACCAGAAACACAGATCGAAAGTGGATCCCTTTCCTTTCCTTCCCGTAGGTTTGTCGATAGAAACAACGTGATCCGTTTGCTCGTTTCATTTGGGGTTGAACCAGTTTTCCTTCTCATTGCTTCGAAACCTCTCTTGTTGGAGCTCTGTCCCGTCCCGTCCCCCCACTTTGCACATGGTCTGAGGCACCGTGACCCCGTCGGTCGGATGCCTGGCTCCCCCCTTCTTTTGTGACAGTCGTGCCAATCTGTCATCGTTGCCTCTGTTTGATGGGGAGCGGCTCTCCTTTTCTACCCTTCGTTTTCCAGCAAGCGAGGAATGCAAGTCATGGAAACTTGGATCCAAAACAGATAAACTTATGGGTTTTCTTGGCGGCGTCCAGCGTTCCTTCGTCAGAGTTGGAACGGGGCTCGGAATGATCAGTTCCACATGGTTTTTCCATAAGAATCCACGGTGGAGTCCTGGCCGTGGGCTGCGAGGCCAAGCCCAGGTTTCCCCAGGAAACGGTTAAAGCGGCCCAAGGCTGTTTCGGGGGAGTCACCGGGGAAGGGCCACTTGCCCCACTGGCTCCGGGCGTCTCAAAATGCCGCTGAAAATTACAATGCCGTTTGTTTCAGCAAACGAAAATTACGAAATTACGAATGCTAGGAGAGAAGTATTTTCCGTATCGTTGTCTGCAGCGAGGACCGTTTCTGGGCAGGAGTCAAATCTTGCGGCCAGTCAAAGCCTTCTCTGGCCAAAAGCTGAAACAGAAGGGTATTCTAGGACCAAGCAGCTCTTACTATCAGGAGCAGGGGTCCCTGAGGCCACTGAAATCCACAACAAGCATGTGGACAATCTCAACAGAAAGGAAGAAAACATGAAAATAATAACACTTAATACTAACACTTAATTGGTACCCTGCTACCATCTCCCCAAGGGACTCGGTGCGGCTTACATGAGGCCGAGCCCAAACACAACAATACAAGCAATAACAACAACAATACAAGCAATTTAAAAACATAAACAATAAAATACACGACATTATCAATAAGACAACACACAATTAAAAACAGTGGGAAGGCCAAATGTAGAGTTAAAATTGGAAACAATGCTGGGACATGGACGAGAAGGTGATACTGGTGTTTGTGGAAGGGCATACGAGGAGACTTAAAGAAATGTAAAGGGCTTTGGAGGACAAAGTGCTATGGGGTCATTATTCTGGGAAGGCACACTGAAAAGGAACAAAATCTGGCTACCACTATGGAAAAAAAAACTCTAAAATTACAGCAGCAAAACAACAGAGAGGAAACAATCAGGGACAGCTAATCACCTCTCAACAAAAGATTGCCCCAAGCACTGACAAGCCACACCAAACAACTGCTAGGCCATCAAATGCTAATCAAGGTGGTCAGTTGAAACATTCCCACCTAGCTCCAGCAGACAAGAGTCCTTTGTCCCACCCTGGTCATTCCACAGATATATAAACCCATTGTCCTAATTCCAACAGACCTCACAACCTCTGAGGATGCTTGCCATAGATGCAGGCGAAACGTCAGGAGAGAATGCCTCTAGGGCATGGCCATATAGCCCGAAAAAACCTACAACAACCCAGTCCCTGAGACTGTTGGCCGACTATCGTTTGAAAAGAAAACACCTGAACACAGCACATTATCTTATTTGCAGCACAAAAACACACAAAAGAACAACCCAATCTTTCGAACGAAGAGCAGTCTTCACCAGCATAACTTACCAGTATCCCAATGGGAAGTGTGGGCCAGCGTTTGGCTGATGAGAGAGTCACATTAGTTTGGGTTGTTGTTGTTGGCCTTCAAGGCGTTTCAGACTTGGTGTGATCCTCAGTCGAAAGTTTAAGGTGACGTCAATGGCCTTTGGGGGCCGCATACGGACCGCGGGCCTGAGTTTGGACAGGGTCTTCCGCATATTCAAATGCATTCTGATATGTGTCGTTATAGAATTTTTACAGTGTTTATGTGTTTTAATTATGCTGTTACCTACCTTGAGTCATGAGGAGAGGCGAGTAAGAAATAATAATAATAATAATAATAATAATAATAATAATAATAATAATCTTTATGTATACCCCAACCCATTACGCAAAGTAAGCATTCGTGGTAGAGTTGATTTTGCCCAGGGGCACTCTTGAGGCAGTCTTCAGGGAAAATAGACCTTGACATATGCGAGTTGTAGTTACTGGGATGTATAGTTCACCTACAATCAAAGAGCATTCTGAACTCCACCAATGATGGAATTGAACCAAATATGGCACACAGAACTCTCATGACGAACAGAAAATATATATCAGTGATTGGTTGGGGCGGGGGGGGGGGGCAAAATATTGTTTGCTTATCGTTGAAAATTACCTGGGGCCGCCTCTGACCCCAATGGGGACTCGTAGCGGCTTACATGGGGCCAAGCCTGGGCAACATATTACAACAAGATAAAACCAGAGCATAAACAATAAACAACATCATCAAAATTACAGAAAGAAAAAAAATTATAAACACAGTCATAAAATAACATTCCAATACGTACAATCACAATAACAATGGGCGGGCCACATGTACAGGATAAAACGATTAAAAGACTCTAATGAGATAAAAATAGGACCAAGATACTTGCAGGGAACTCATAAAAACACAGAGTTGTGAAGCTAAACTTCCCATTTGGAGGGCGTGCAATGATGTCATGTTGTGCACTAACTCACCAAAACCACAGCGGAAGAACCGGGTTTTAAGGTTCTTTTCGAACGTTCCTAGTGAAGGGGCTTTCCTGATCTCTACAGGTAATGATAATTAGAGTGATATATATTAAGGTTGTACATAGAATGGTAACATAGTAGTAAACAGATTAAGCTAATCTATTTTTAAAGATTAGTTTGGCAATAAACAATAATGTAAGGAAATAATCTAACAGGAAAAGTCAGGAAGAACGTTTAAGGAGGAAGGGAAAAGGGGGAAAAGACACGAAACCTGGAAGAAGCTCAAGTACAGGAAGGTGGTTTCAGAAGACAAGATGACGAGGTTCAAAATAGGGGACAGCAATGCTCCTCTTTGAGATAAGATATATCGACCTTTCAAAACCTGAGTAGTTTCAGTAATGGATGTAAGAGCTGGATGTAATACAGTGAAATATTCTAAAAGGCTTTCCCCTTGCTCCCGATAACATTTTCCTCACTGCAGATCAGTGGCTCTCAACCTGCGCTCCCTGGACCACCAGTGGTCCACTAGCACAAAAATATGGTCTGTGGCTTCACCATTAATACACCGTTGCCTCAAAGCCATGTGGCAACGAGAGCGACTGGTCTTGTGAAACCCTCTTAGAGTGCCAAGGCAACGGGGATGTCGGGAGGGGAGAGGCTGACTCCCCATGGAAGAGTCATTGAATAATATGGTGCCCACAGATGGTGACTACGGGATGGCATATGTTCTGTATCAGAAACTAGAGCTGATGTGGTCTACCCAATGCAATTTATGAATCTGCTGAAACTAAAGTTGACTGAAAACTGATTTGTAACCCTTTTGGTACTATTGTTGGAGAGTGGTCCCTGGTCAAAGGGGTCCCTGGTCAAAATAGGTTGGGAACCACTGTTGTAGATGATTTCTTACACGGTTGTTAAGCTATACTAACTTACACTTATCTCAGCACACTGGCCCTCTCCTGTTTCTCTATTATACATAATAACAATGATGATGATGATGATGTTTAAGTGGAATCCCTCTTCCTGCCATTTGAACCCAGGGCTCCTTTGCGTCCTTGTCTTAGCAGCAGGTAGCAAGCCAGATCTTTCCTCCTCAACAGGACGGGTTATTTTTCCGTACTGAAACATGTAAAAACTGCACAGAATCCGTTCCATTTTCGGGATTATTTTTTCGAAACTGAAATCGAACTCTGGATCCTGAATATGAACGTCCGCTTCCTAATCTCCTAGAATCTTCCCAAAGACAGCACATGACTTTTCATAGTTTATTATTATTATTTGCACCTCATCCCTGAAACGTGGCTCTCTTATGTTGATTCCTGGCCCCGTCCTCACCCTCTACCTGCCTGGCTTTGCAGCTTCCTGACGTTCTCCTTTGTGTCTTCCTTCCTTCCTTCTTTTCCAGGAATGCCAAGAAGGAAGGGGACCTGCTCTCGGCGCAAGCCCGGCTGAAGGACCTGGAGGCGCTGCTCAACTCCAAGGAGGCCGCCCTCAGCACCGCCCTGGGAGAGAAGCGCACCCTCGACACCGAAGCCCGCGACCTCCGCGCACAGCTGGCCAAGGTGCGCACCCCGCCATTCCCATTCCCCCTGATTTGTATCTCAAAATACTACAACCACAACAGCGAGTACATCGAGCAGGCCTGGCCCAGCTCCAGCCCTCCCTCCAGGTGTTTTGGACTACAACTCCCACAATTCCTCACATTGTCCTCAAGGGAAGGCCAAAGTAGGCCCAGGCCAGCTATCACATGCAATGGCACAGCCAATTGTAAGATCAGGTCCTCATTGTGGGAGTTGAATTCCAAAACACTGGGAGGGAAGAGGGAGGGTGGGTTTGGACTTGGGCCACGTCTGGGATGGAGCTGATGGACAGCCATAGACTAGACCTATTAGGCCTGGGCAATCCATGGTTCTAAATGGTTCTAAAGTACTTACAAAACTAAAGTTCTGGTGGTGAAAATTTCAGAACACTAACAAAACTCTCAAAATTTATTTATTTGTTTATTTATTTACTTTGCTTGTATACCGCAGTTTCTCAGCCCGTAGGCGACTCAACGCGGTTCACAACAAGAGCAAAAGTCAGTCCAACAACATACAATATTAAAACCATTAACAGTATAAAATACAAACTAATGACATCTCAATAACAACACATTAACGTCTCGTAACTAAAATCGTGATCCAATTCGTCATCCATAATTCCGTTTCATAATAAATGGCAGTTCCTAATTGGTTCTGTCATTAAAATCACCAATAATGAAATATTAAATTTTGAAAGTTTTGTTAGAGTTCTGAAATTTTCACCACCAGAACTTTAGTTTTGTAAGTACTTTAGAACCATTTAGAACCATGGATTGCCCAAGCCTAATACCTATTATAGTTGGGTTGTTGTAGGTTTTTTCAGGCTACATGGCCATGTTCTAGAGGCATTTTCGCCTGACGTTTCGCCTGCATCTATGGCAAGCATCCTCAGAGGTAGTGAGGACTGTTGGAACTAGGAAAAAGGGTTTATGTATCTGTGGAAGGACCAGGGTGGGACAAAGGACTCTTGTCCGCTGGAGCTAGGTGTGAATATTTCAACTGACCACCTTGATTAGCATTTAATGGCTTGGAAGTGCCTGGGGGGAATCTTTTGTTGAGAGTGATTTGATGTGCCTGATTGTTTCCTCTCTGTTGTTTTGCTGTTGTAATTTTAGAGTTTTTTTTAATACTGGTAGGCAGATTTTGTTCATTTTCATGGTTTCCTCGTTTCTGTTGAAGTTGTCCACCTGCTTCTTGTGGATTTCGATGGCTTCTCTGTGTAGTCTGTGTAGAGTGGTCCAGCATTTCTGTGTTCTCAGATCATATGCTGTGATAAATATGTGTTCTCAAATAATATGCTGTGAGATAAATATGCAGGCAACAACCCTATTATAAGGTTCTTGTGGGTTTTTTCGGGCTATAGGGCCATGTTCTAGAGGCATTTTCTCCTGACGTTTCGCCTGCATCTATGGCAAGCATCCTCGAGGTAGTCTGAGGATGCTTGCCATAGATGCAGGCGAAAATGTCAGAGAAAATGCCTCTAGAACATGGCCCTATAGCCTAAAAACCCACAAGAACCTAGTGATTCCAGCCATGAAAGCCTTCGGCAATACATTGAACCCTATTATAGTTGTTGCCTGCTGCAGCATTGCACCTAATTGTTGTTGTTGCCTGCTATAGCATTGCACACGTCAGAATGTATTGTACTCAGTGATGCTTGCCATAGATGCAGGCGAAACGTCAGGAGAGAATGCTTCTCGAACATGGCCCTATAGCCCGAAAAGCCTACCACAACCCAAATATGGTACTTTCCTTGGTGTCCAGGAGAGGGCAGAAAAACCAAGGCAAAGCAATTCACCTCAAGGACCAACTTGAGTTTGAAGGCAGGTTCCGCAGAAAGGTGCAAAGGGTTGCTTTGGATGTTATGTGGGTTGTGGTGCCTCCCTGTGTGCAGCAAGGCAGGTTTCTAATATGCGCAGGCCTTGCAATCTATTCTTATCATCCTCTCCAATTGGAGGAGCCTTCTCCTGCCTGTCCGTCCATCCGTCCTTCTTTCCTTCCTTCCCTCTCTTTCTCTGACCGGCTTTTCTCTTTCCCTTCCCTTCTTTCTTTCTCAGGTGGAGGCCGCTTTGGCCGAGGTCAAGAAGCAGCTTCAGGACGAAATGCTGCGCCGGGTGGACGCCGAGAACCGCCTCCAGACCCTGAAGGAGGAGCTGGACTTCCAGAAGAACATCTACAGCGAGGTCAGGATTTGAGAGGTTGCCGGTGTTTGCCTCCCAGTGGTCACATTGCCTGGGAAGCTTCAGCTCTTTTGTCCTGTTGGTCTCCCTCCCTCCCTCCCTCCCTCCCTCCCTCCCTCCTGGGGGCCAGGCTACATCAACCTTTGGCGATCCTCCTGCACCTGAGGGTGGGAGGTGCCCCTACTGCGCACCCCATGGCCCTGCCCTTGTCCCCTCTCTCTTCCTCCTTTCACCCCTGCCAATCTCACAAGCTCGTCTTGTGGGCACAAGTGGCTCTGGAACTCATTCCCTGGAGAGATCAGGAAAGGCCCTTCACTAGAGACATTCAAAAAGAACCTTAAAACCCGGCTCTTTCGCTGCGCCTTTGGCGAGGAGGTGCACAACACGACACCATTGCTCCCCTCAATGCTCTTCCCACTGGAGTACACGCCCTCCCAAAGGGAAGTTTAGCTTCACAACTCTGTGTTTTTACGAGTTCCCTGCAAATCACTTGCTCCTCGTTTTATCCAGTATATTTAGCCCGCCCGTTGTATTGTGATAGTGTTTATTAGAATGTTATTTTGCTATTGTATCTGGCTTTTTTTCCTCTTTCTATGTAATTTTGATGATGTTGTTTGTTGTTTCTGTTGTTTTCTTTTGCTGTAATGTGTTGTCCGGGTTTGGCCCCATGTAAGCCCCCTCTGAGTCCCCACTGGGGAGATGGTGGCGGGGTATACATCACGTTTATTATCGTTGTTATTATTATTACTATTCCTGCCTCAGGAGCTGCGTGAGAGCAAGCGCCGGCACGAGACGCGCCTGGTGGAGATTGACAGCGGGCGCCAGCAGGAGTTTGAGAGCAAGCTGGCCGAGGCCCTGCATGACCTGAGGGGCCAGCACGAGGCCCAGGTGCGCATGTACAAGGACGAGCTGGAGAAGACCTACAGCGCCAAGGTGAGCCCCCCCCTCGACCCTCGGCCCAACCCACGTCCCCCCCTCCTCCTCCTCCTCCTCCTCACGGTTTCTGGGCCCCTCTCTCTTGGCCTCCCTCTCTCTCTGCAGCTGGAGAATGCCAAGCAGTCGGCCGAGAGGAACAGCAGCATGGCGGGGGCCGCCCACGAGGAGCTGCAGCAGACGCGCATACGCATCGACAGCCTCTCCGCTCAGCTCAGCCAGCTCCAGAAGCAGGTGAGGGCGGGGCAGGGTGGGGCGGGGGTCCCTCACACCTCTGGAAAAAGCGGAGATTGGGCGTGCGGTTGACCCTGGATTGAATAGAATATAATAATATTATAATGTAATACAATATAATACAAATAGTAGGACCCCCCCGGTGGGTGGCACAGTGGGTCAAACCCCTGTGCCAGCAGGACTGAAGACCGACAGGTTGCAGCTTCGAATCCGGGGAGAGGTGGATGAGCTCCCTCTGTCAGCTCCAGCTCCTCATGCCAAGGGGACATGAGAGAAGCCTCCCACAAGGATGGTAAAACCATCAAATCATCCAGGCAGTGTCCCCTGGGCAACGTCCTTGCAGACGGCCAATTCTCTCACACCAGGAGTCACTCCTGACACGACACAAAAATAAAATAAAATACAAATAGTACAGTATTGTAATTATATATTTTATATTACATGTAATATTGCTAATAATATTACAATATAATGGTGTAGTACAATATGGTAATCTATAATACTGATATTGTGCTATGCTAATAATATAATACATTGTATGTACATATATTTATAGTATTATAATGTAATACAATACCACTACTAATAATAATATATTATTATTATATATTTTATATTACATGTAATATTGCTAATAATATTACAATAGAATGGCACAGTACAATCTAGTAATCTATAGTACTGATATTGTGCTATGCTAATAATATATTGTATATACATATATATATTTATAATATTATAATGTAATACAATACTAATAATATTATATTATTATTATATATTTTATATTACATGCTATATTGCTAATAATATTACACTATAATGGTATAGTACAATATAGTAATATATAATGATATTGTGCTATGCTAATAATATAATACATTGTATATACATGTATTTATAGTATTATAATGTACTACAGTACTACTACTAATAATAATATTATAATTATATATTTTATATTACATGTAATATTGCTAATGATATTACAATATAATGGAATAGTTCAATATGGTAATATATAATACTGATATTGTGCTATGCTAATAATATAATACATTGTATATACATATATTTATAATATAATGCAATACAATAGTAATAGTAATATATTTATATATTTTATATTACATGTAATATTTCTAATTATTATTATTATTATTATTATTAACTTTATTTGTACCCCGCTAGCATCTCCCGAGGGACTCGATGCGGCTTACACAGGCCGAAGCCACAAAACACAATACAATAGAAAACATAACACAACAATAGCAGAGCAAATCAAAACAATAAGCAAATAACGATAATGACAATACATCAGGACATTATTAAAACTGGTTCGGCCGGCGCAATGGGTACAGGATTAAAAGTGCTGAAATGATAGGAGGCACGTAGGATTAAAAGTGCGGTGTGCAGCAGCGATTAGTTATGCTAAGGTGCTACTAGGACTTGGAGTGGGGATTCCTAGTCTGAAAAGGCACATCGGAACAGCCAAGTTTTTAAATTCCTTCTGAAAACAGCTAGAGTGGGGGCCTGTCGGAGATCTTTTGGGAGGGCGTTCCAAAGTCGGGGGGCCGCCACAGAAAAGGCCCTGTCCCGTGTCCCCACCAAGCGCGCTTGCGACGTGGGTGGGATCACGAGCAGGGCCTCCCCAGATGACCGGAGCGAGCGTGTGGGTTCGTAGATGGAGATGCGGTCACGCAGGTAGGGTGGTCCCAAACCGTTCAGGGCTTTGTAGGTGAGCACCTGCACCTTGAATTGGGCGCGGAAAATAAATGGCAGCCAGTGGAGCTCCTTAAACAGAGGGGTAGACCTCTCTTGATAATGAGCTCCAGTTAGCATCCTAGCTGCTGCCCGCTGGACCAATTGAAGTTTCCGAGCCGTCTTCAAGGGCAGCCCCACGTAGAGCGCATTGCAGTAGTCCATTCTAGAGGTGACCAAGGCATGGACCACCCCGGCCAGATCAGCCTTCACGAGGTATGGTCGCAGTTGGCGCACAAGTCTCAGTAATAATTACAATTAATATTACAATATAATGGTATAGTACAATATGGTAATATATACCATATATACTCACATATAAGCCAACCCGAATATAAGCTGAGGCACCTAATTTTACCACAAAAACCGGGAAAATGTATTGACTTGAGGATAAGCCGAGGGTGGGAAATGCAGCAGATACTGGTCAATTTCAAAATTAAAAATAGATACCAATAAAATTACATTAATTGAGGCATCAGTAGATTCAATGTTTCTGAATATTTACATAAAACTGTAATATAAGACTGTCCAACTGATTACACCATTATTCTAGCCTCCTTTAATGTAAATGTGCTTAAGTAGCCTTCTAATAATAATAATAAAGAGAGCAAAATAATAAATGTAATAATAATAGAGCAATAAAATAAACATAATAAAATAACAATAGAGTATTAAAATAAATATAATAAAAATAATACTGATAACAGAATAAAATAATAAATAACCTTGGCTCGAGGATAAGCCGAGGGGAGCCGGCTAAAAAAAGGGCTGCATTGGTCAGGCCCCACTTGGCGTCCTACTTTTGAGAAGGAGAGAGGCGAAGAAATAGATGTCGAGTGAGTTCATCTGAGGAGAACTTCAGGGAAAGCAAAGTGAGGATGTTATCCAGCATTCGGAGGATCTTCTTCACAGTGAGAGCCCAGAGAGGGTCTCCTTCCTTGAAAGGCTCTCTCCTGCATTGAGGAAGGGTGGCCCCTGGGAACCCCTTAGTTCTCCCCTAATGCGTAGGGTGTTCCCCTAAGCGTGCCCTTTTCCCTGGTGCCTGCTTCACAGCTGGCGGCCAAGGAGGCCAAGCTGCGGGACCTGGAGGACGCGCTGGTGCGGGAGCGGGACAGCAGCCGCCGCATCCTGGCCGAGAAGGAGCGCGAGATGGCCGACATGCGGGCCCGCATGCAGCAGCAGCTGGACGAGTACCAGGAGCTCCTGGACATCAAGCTGGCCCTGGACATGGAGATCAACGCCTACCGCAAGCTCCTGGAGGGAGAGGAGGAGAGGTGGGTCCCGGGCTGGGGGGGGGCGTTACGAGGGAGGAAATGCCCAGGAGGGGAACGCGTACGTTGTGTGGCTGCAGGTAACAGATCTCAGGTAGGCAAAGGAAAGTCCCCTAAGGCCAACTCAGTGTAAGAGGGAGGCCTCCTGGTGCTCCCTTCTCAAACAAAGGACAACAAAGGCACATGAAAGACCTCTGGGGGGAAGAAGTAGAAGTAGAAGAAGAAGAAGTAGTCGTAGAAGTAGTAGAAGAAGAAGTAGAAGAAGTAGAAGTAGTAGAAGTAGTAGAAGAAGAAGAAGTAGTAGAAGAAGTAGAAGTAGTAGAAGAAGTAGAAGTAGAAGAAGAAGAAGAAGAAGAAGTAGGCCCTAGACATGGAGATCAACGCCTACCGGAAGCTCCTGGAGGGAGAGGAGGAGAGGTGGGTCCCGGGCTGGGGGGGGGCGTTACAAGGGAGGAAATGCCCAGGAGGGGAACGCGTACGTTGTGTGGCTGCAGGTAACAGATCTCAGGTAGGCAAAGGAAAGTCCCCTAAGACCAACTCAGTGTAAGAGAGAGGCCTCCTGGTGCTCCCTTCTCAAACAAAGGACAACAAAGGCACATGGAAGACCTCTGGGGGGAAGAAGTAGAAGTAGAAGAAGAAGAAGTAGAAGTAGTAGAAGAAGAAGTAGAAGTAGAAGTAGTAGAAGAAGTAGAAGAAGAAGTAGTAGAAGAAGTAGAAGAAGAAGTAGTAGAAGAAGTAGAAGAAGAAGAAGTAGGCCCTAGACATGGAGATCAACGCCTACCGGAAGCTCCTGGAGGGAGAGGAGGAGAGGTGGGCCCTGGGGGGGGGGGGGGGTTACGAGGGAGGAAATGCCCAGGAGGGAACGCGTACGTTGTGTGGCTGCAGGTAACAGATCTCAGGTAGGTAAAGGAAAGTCCCCTAAGACCAACTCAGTGTAAGAGAGAGGCCTCCTGGTGCTCCCTTCTCAAACAAAGGACAACAAAGGCTCCATAAAAGAAGGAGGAGGAGGAGGAAGCACCCTCTACAAATAGGAGAGTAGGGAGACATGAAGAAAGTCCCCTACCTTTGGTGGAAGAGGCCCCAAGGCAGACTTTCATGTCTCTGTGTGGAAGAGAGAGGCCTCCTGGTGCTCTCTTCTCAAAACAAGGACAATCAAGGCACATTCAAGACTTGTGGGGAGAATAAGAGAAAAATGGCCTCTACAGATATAAGATATAAGAGTAGATAGACACAAAGAAAGTCCCCCAACTTTGGGAGAAGAGGCCCCCCTAAGGCTGCCTCTCATGTCTCTGTGTGGAAGCGAGAGGCCTCCTGGTGCTCCTTCTGGGAAGAAGAAGGGATGGGCATCAAGAAAGGGAGCTAACATTGGGAGAAGAGGCCGTGATGCCGACTTGAGGAAGAGAGAGGCCTCACAATGCTTCCTTCTTGACCAGAAGGGTCCTGTCAGACTGTAGGATCTCTATGGCAATATTAAATAAGCACTCACAAGCCGGTCTTGCTTTGAAATGGATATATTGAATCATAGAATCCTAGAATCCTAGAATCAAAGAGTTGGAAGAGACCTCATGGGCCATCCAGTCCAACCCCATTCTGCCAAGAAGCAGGAATATTGCATTCAAATCACCCCTGACAGATGGCCATCCAGCCTCTGTTTAAAAGCTTCCAAAGAAGGAGCCTCCACCACACTCCGGGGCAGAGAGTTCCACTGCTGAACACTCTCACAGTCAGGAAGTTCTTCCTTATGTTCAGATGGAATCTCCTTTCTTGTAGTTTGAAGCCATTGTTTCGCGTCCTAGTCTCCAAGGAAGCAGAAAACAAACTTGCTCCTCCTCCCTGTGGCTTCCTTTCACATGTTTATACATGGCTATCATATCTCCTCTCAGCCTTCTCTTCTTCAGGCTAAACATGCCCAGTTCCCTAAGCCGCTCCTCATAGGGCTTGTTCTCCAGACCCTTGATCATTTTAGTCGCCCTCCTCTGGACACATTCCAGGTTGTCAATATCTCTCTTGAATTGTGGTGCCCAGAATTGGACACAATATTCCAGATGTGGTCTAACCAAAGCAGAATAGAGGGGTAGCATTCCCTAGATCTAGACACTATGCTCCTATTGATGCAGGCCAAAATCCCATTGGCTTTTTTTGCTGCCACATCACATTGTTGGCTCATGTTTAACTTGTTGTCCACGAGGACTCCAAGATCTTTTTCACACGTACTGCTCTCGAGCCAGGCATTGTCCCCCATTCTGTATCTTTGCATTTCATTTTTTCTGCCCAAGTGGAGTATCTTGCATTTGTCACTGTTGAACTTCATTTTGTTAGTTTTGGCCCATCTCTCTAATCTGTCAAGATCATTTTGAATTCTGCTCCTGTCCTCTGGACTATTGGCTATCCCTCCCAATTTGGTGTTGTCTGCAAACTTGATGATCATGCCTTCTAGCCCTTCATCTAAGTCATTAATAAAGATGTTGAACAGGACCGGGCCCAGGACGGAACCCTGCGGCACTCCACTTGTCACTTCTTTCCAAGATGAAGAGGAAGCATTAGTGAGCACTCTCTGTGTTCGTCCACTTAACCCATTACAGATCCACCTCACCGTAGTTTTGCCTAGCCCACATTGGACTAGTTTCCTTGCCAGAAGGTCATGGGGGACCTTGTCAAAAGCCTTACTGAAATCCAGGTACGCTACATCCACGGCATTCCCCGCATCTACCCAGTTTGTAACTCTATCAAAAAAAGAGATCAGATTAGTCTGGCATGACTTGTTTTTGATAAATCCATGTTGACTATTAGCGATGACTGCATTTGTTTCTAAGTGTTTGCAGACCACTTCCTTAACAATCTTTTCCAGAATCTTGCCCGGTATCGACGTGAGGCTGACCGGACGGTAGTTGTTTGGGTCATCCTTTTTTCCCTTCTTGAAGATTGGGACCACATTGGCCCTCCTCCAATCTGCTGGAACTTCTCCCGTGCTCCAAGAACTCTCAAAGATGGTTGCCAATGGTTCCGAAATGACTTCCGCTAGTTCCTTCAATACTCTGGGGTGTAGTTGCTCTGGCCCTGGGGACTTGAACTCATTAAGAGCGGCCAGGTATTCCTGGACGACTTCTTTCCCAATGTGGGGTTGGATGTCCTCCAATCCCTCATCCACTCCATCTTGCTGAGGTTGAAGACTCTCTTTTTGTGAGAAGACCGAGGCAAAGAAGGCATTAAGTAGTTCTGCCTTTTCCCTATCCCCTGTCAGCATTGCCCCATCTTCTCCGCGAAAAGGTCCTATCGCCTCCTTGTTTTTCCTTTTTCTACTGACATAAGAATAGAAGCCCTTTTTATTGTTTTTAATGTCCCTGGCAAGTCTGAGCTCGTTTTTTGCTTTAGCCTTGCGGACCTTTTCCCTACAGGTGTTGGCTATTTGTTTGAATTCTTCTTTGGTGATTTCTCCCTTTTTCCACGTCTTGTGCATGTCTCTTTTGTGTCTTAGCACAGTTAGAAGTTCTTTGGACATCCATTCTGGCTTCTTTGCACTTGTCCTATTTTTTCTCTTTGTTGGCACGGTTTGCAATTGCGCCTTGAGTATTTCACTCTTGAGAAATTCCCATCCATCCGTAACTCCCTTGTCTTTTAGTATCTGTGTCCACGGAATGCTGCTCAGTGTTTCCTTCATTTTTTGGAAATCAGCTCTCCTAAAGTCCAGAATGCGGGTTTGACTTGTCTTAGTTTCGGCCTTCCTTTGTACCTCAAATTGCAGGAGCACATGGTCACTTGCCCCTAAGGATCCTACCACTTCGACCGCATCGATCAGGTCCTCCGCATTTGTTAGGATGAGATCAAGAGTAGCCAATCCCCTTGTTGCCTCTTCTACCTTCTGGACCATGAAATTGTCTGCAAGGCAAGCGAGGAATTTGTTGGACCTTGTACTCTTGGCCGGTTTGTTTTCCAGCAAATATCGGGATAGTTGAAATCGCCCATGACTACTACATCACTTTTCTGTTCCTGTTTGGTCAACTGTTGGCAGAAGACTTCATCAAGTTCTTCCTCCTGGCTTGGGGGTCTGTAGTAGACGCCTACAACGACATCTTTTTGAGTCCCAGTTCCCTTGATTCTTATCCAGATGATTTCAAGCTGGTTTCCCAGATTGCTGTCTTGAATCTCTTCTGCAGCATAAGAGTTTTTGACATATAAGGCTACTCCGCCTCCTCTCCCCTTTGTTCGGTTTCTGTGAAAGAGGTTATACCCTTCTTGTTTATTTCCCATGCTCTGTGCATTAGTGTAAAGACATGTGAGCCCCTGAGATCTTCCCTTGAGCTGTTTAATTGGGATTATTGTGCTTTTGGTACTTGGTCCTTGTTGTGTTTGTGCAGCCCTCCGTTTAGCCTTCTGGCGATTCCCAGACATTATTGGTAAAGTAGTGTTCGCAAGGCTGTTGTCCCCCTCCCCCGGTGGACCTAGTTTAAAGTGCGTCTAATGAGGTTTGCGAGTCTGTGAGCAAAAAGGTGTTTTCCTACTTGTGTGAGATGCACCCCATCCCTTGCCAGTAGGCCATCCTCCTGGAAAAGCAGGCCATGGTCGAGGAAGCCAAAGCGTTCCTCCTGACACCATTTTCTAAGCCAGTCATTGACCTGTACTATTTTTCTGGCTCTTGTGGGTCCGTGTCTTACAACAGGGAGGAGGGATGAAAAGACCACCTGTACATTACATTCTTTTAGCTTTGCTCCTAGAGCTCGAAAATCATTTGTGATCTTTTGAAACGTATGCCTTGCAGTATCATTGGTTCCTACATGAATCAACATGAGGGGAGGACGGTAATAGGGCTTGAGGAGCCTGGTGAGCCTCTGAGTGATATGGTGTATTTTTGCCCCCGGTAGGCAGCATATTTCTCGAGCCATCCCATCTGGTCTGGAAATGACAGCTTCCGTTCCTCTAAGGAGGGAGTCGCCTACTACCAAGACCTGTTTACTTTCGGGAATGACAGGGCCCTTTTGTGCAATGTAGTGTGTAGGTCTCCAGAAAAGTGATCGTGTTGGTATGAATTGTGTAGGTGAAAAGTGTTGTCCTCCTCCTCGACATCCCCGGTGCATTCGTCAAGGACAATCCATTGAGATTCGTCCAAGAGCCTATGGTTCTCCTGTATGTGTTCCTGTTGCTCCTGGTCTATGGTTGGGGATGGTACACCTGCAGGATTGTGCAAGTGTGAATGTTGTGAAGTGTTGTCCCAGTCAGGGCTATCCCCTGCACACTGATCAAGGATGAGCCACTGATCAGTATCTAAGCCATTCTGGTCTTCCCCAATATGTTGTGTTTCTTGGTCAGGTGATAGTTGTGTGAGAATTTGGAATCTATTGTGTAACTGCAGCTGAGCGGAAGTATTCTGAGGAGGCTTCCGGGTCCTATGTGTCCTTCTAAGGGTGACATTTCTCCAAGCCTGAGGGTTGTCGACATCTGAGGTGCTGTTCTGTTGAGCCTCCTCGTAATGTTGGTGTGATATGGGCTGCGTGTCTAGGACAGTGTGGTGTGTGGTGTCTAAGAAGAGCTCAAGTTCCTGAATGTCCTTAAGGGTGTTAATACGGTCCTCGAGTTGTCGTATCCTGTGTTCCATGCGAGTGATCTGTGTACACTTGGGGCAGATGTAATTGAGTAATTGTAGTGTGAAAAAGCTGAACATGCCACAGCTTGTGCATGAGACGGGAAGTTTTCGTGTTTGTTCCATCTGGAGGTTGCTAATGACCTCCTCTTGGTGTGTGTTTGATGTTGTCTGTATGCAGGGGTGGAAGTATAGGTTACTGAGTGTATATAAACACTGGTTTATATAGGATAACCAGGAAGCCCCTCCTCTCAAACAAAGCAGTTAATTATAAACTCAGGAAGCCCCACCTCTCAAACAAAGCAGTGCTGAAAGCAGTTTAAATTTAAACAAAGCTTACCCTGAAGCAGAAGGAAACAAAATGGGTTCCTGCTTCCTCAACTTCTGTGGAAAGCCCAGCTTGTATCTCTGCAGCAAAGAAAGACACTACGGACTTTTTCCCACCACCACCACTTCCTTTTTGACACCCTTCCTGCCCATCTCCCCCTCTTCTCCGTTTCCTTACTAGAGCTTGTTGCTTCACAATTTCCAACACAAGGCTTCCAGCGCCCTCTGCTGGCCTTCAAAATGTCACAGAGAGAGAATGGATTCAGCCAGGATGATTCAGTCAGGAGGTCACGGAGGGAATTCGTGATGTCTTCATGCCGTCAGAATTTTATTTATTTATTGAGCAGTTTTGTATCCCGGTCTTCTCACCTCCGTTCGAGGGACTCAGGCCGGTTTCCAACATCAATATTACAGTCATTAAAACATCATATTCTAAATCACACTAAAACATTAAAATAGCCAAATACAATCATACAATTACAGTGGTCAGTCATCATCAAAAATCATTATTCGTCGTCATCCATCCATATCGCAGGATCATGGCTCATTCGTCGAATGCCAATCCCCAAAGCCAAGTTTTCACCTGTTTCCTGAACGTTAAGATCGAAGGGGCCGTTCTGATCTCCAGTGGAAGGGAGTTCCAGAGTCGAGGGGCCACCACCGAGAAGGCCCTGTCTCTCGTCCCCACCAGCCGCGCCTGTGAGGCCGGTGGGATCGAGAGCAGGGCCCCTCCAGACGATCTTAGGACTCCTGACAGGGAGGGGGGCACCTTAGAGGCTTCTGGGAAGAAGAAGAAGGAAGGCATGGCCTCTCCATGTAGGCAGGGAACAAAACTCGGCTTGGTTACACAGATCCAGGTGAAAGCAAGACCGCAGGGATCTGGAGACAAGGCTTCTTCCTTCCCAACTATGGTGGTTTTCAGGGAGAGGCAAGCACCGTTTGGGCGCTAGTCCACGGCGGGTGTATCGGGGTCTTCCTTCCTTGCTCACCTGCTTCCCCTTCTCCTCCTCCTCCTCTCTCTTTAGGCTGCGCCTGTCTCCCAGCCCCACCTCCCAGAAGAGCGGCTCTCGCACCCGCATCTCCCACTCCTCCTCCTCCTCCATGCAGAGTTCGGCCAAGAAGCGCAAGCTGGGGGCCGGCAGCACCGGCGGCGGAGAGAGCCGCACCAACTTCTCCCACCACGCCCGGACCACCGGAAGGGTCGCCGTGGAGGAAGTGGACCTGGAGGGGAAGTTCATCCGCCTCCGCAACAAGTCCAGCGAGGTGGGTCTGCCTCGGGGAGGGATTCCCTGGCTTGGGAGAAAGAAAGACGGTCACGCAGGCAGGCTGCCCCTGAGATACACACTACAGGACTCTGAGTTAAGAACGGGGCTGAGTGTCACGTTGCCAGGGCTCTGCCTTATTTAGGGAGAGATGAATCAAACAATTTATTGATTTAGAAGTCTTATATACCGGTCTTCTCACCTCCAAGGAGGGACTCGGGCCAGTTCACAACATGTGTTCATATACAATAATATACAAAAACCACATAATGCATCATCATTACACATTAAAATCTAAGTACAATAAATACAGTCCCAGTTCATCATCCTCCTTCCATGTGGACAAAGGTTATTGACTCAATCCTCAAATGCCACAGTCCAAAGCCACAGTCCAAAGTCAACAGAAAGGAGGAAACCATGAAAATGAACAAAATCTGGCTACCAGTATTAAAAAACTCAAAAATCACAACAGCAAAACAACAGAGGGGAAACAACCAGGCACATGAAATCACTCTCAGCAAAAGATTTCCCCCAGGCACTTCCAAGCCATCGAATGCTAATCAAGGTGGTCAGCTGAAACATTCCCACCTAGCTCCAGCAGACAAGAGTCCTTTGCCCCACCCTGGTCATTCCACAGATATATAAACCCTTTTTCCTACTTCCAACAGACCTCACTCCCTCTGAGGATGCTTGCCATAGATGCAGGCGAAACGTCAGGAGAAAAGAATTGCCTCCAGAACATGGCCATATAGCCCGGAAAAACCTACAACAACCCAATATATATATTGTTCGTGTGTGTGTGTATGTGTGTGTGTGTGTGTGTGTGTGTGTGTGTGTGTGTGTATATATATATATATATATATATATATTGATATGCTGGTGTTTTCACCCCAAAGGGGACTCAGAGCGGCATACAGTATATATATATATACACACTGTAAGCCGCTCTGAGTCCCCTTTGGGGTGAGAAGGGTGGCATAGAAATGCCGTAAATAAATAAATATTCTCAGTCCGCATGTTCTCCTGCAGTGAGGGCGTCGGTTTCCAGACCGAAGGCAATCCCTGTTGGGGTTGTCTCGATGTGCCTTCCTCTTGGCACGTTGCACCCTTTCGCCCTCCATTCGTGCCTCTTTGAATTCCACAGCACTGCTGGCCACAGCTGACCACCAGTGAGAGTGCGCAAGAGCCAGGGCTTCCCAGTTCTCTCTCGATGTCTATTCCACAGTTTTTGAGGTTGGCTTTGAGCCCATCCTTAAATTTCTTTTCTTGTCCACCAACATTCCGTTGGGTTGTTGTTGGTTTTTTCGGGCTATAGGGCCATGTTCTAGAGGCATTCTCTCCTGACGTTTCACCTGCTGCATCTATGGCAAGCATCCTCCGAGGTAGTGAGGTCTGTTGGAAACTAGGAAAAAGGGTTTATATATCTGGGGAATGACCAGGGTGGGACAAAGAACCCTTGTCTGCTGGAGCTAGATGTGAATGTCTCAACTGACCACCTTGATTAGCATTTGATGGCCTGGCAGTGCCTGGGGCAATCTTTTGTTGAGATGTCATTAGCTGTCCCAGGTTGTTTCCTCTCTGTTGTTTTGCTGTTTCCGGTTCTTGAGTTTGGAGTAGAGCAGAACAAAGATTAAAATATAGGAAAAGCCAAGGTCCATCATTCCTGGAACCCACAATCTAGGGCAGTGTTTCTCAACCTGGGGGTCGGGACCCCTGGGGGGGTCGCAAGGGGGTATCAGAGGGGTCGCCAAAGACCATCAGAAAACACAGTATTTTCTATTGGTTATGGGGGTTCTGTGTAGGGAGTTTAGCCCAATTCTCTCATTGTTGGAGTTCAGAATGCTCTTTGATTGTAGGTGAACTATAAATCCCAGCAACTACAACTCCCAAATATCAAGGTCTATTTTCTCTAACCTCCTCCAGTATTCACATTTGGGCATGTTGAGTATTCATGCCAAGTTTGGTCCAGATCCATCGTTTGAGTCCTCAGTGCTCTCTGGATGTAGGTGAACTACAACTCCAAAACTCAAGGTCAATGCCTATCAAACCTTTCCAGTATTTACTGTTGGTCATAGGAGTTCTGTGTGCTAAGACTGATTCAATTTAGTCGTTGGTGGAGTTCAGAATGCTCTTTGATTGTATGTGAACTATGAATCTCAGCAACTACAACTCCCAAATGACAGCATCAATCTCCCCTTCAACCCCACTAGAATTCAAATGTGGGCATATCAGGCATTTCTGCCGAATTTGGTCCAGTAAATGAAAATACATCCTGCATCTCAGATACTTACGTGACGATTCATAACAGCAGCAAAATTACAGTTGTGAAGTCACAACAAAAATGTTATGGTTGGGGGTCACCACAACATGAGAATTGTATTAAGGGGTCCCGGCATTAGGGAGGCTGAGAACCACTGATCTAGGGAGTCCCGGGTTGCTGTCCAGTCCCTTCCGGGCTCAACGCTCCATTTTGTGACCCTCGTGCAGGACCAGGCGCTGGGGAGCTGGCAGATCAAGCGCCAGAACGGAGAAGAGGCCCCCATCGTGTATCGGTTCCCCCCAAAGTTCACCCTGAAAGCGGGGCAGGTGGTGACGGTGAGTGGCTGAGCATCTCCTTGAGGACTCCCAATGGGACTCCTCAACATCTCTTGCCATGAGTGGGTGGGTGTCTGGGTGGAAGGAGGTGGGACGCTGTTGCCTGGAAGTGCGTTCATCGTGTGATGGTCTCTTCTCTCCTCCTTCTGTGTAGATCTGGGCCTCGGGGGCCGGGGTCAGCCACAACCCTCCGACCGACATGGTCTGGAAGAACCAGTCCTCCTGGGGATCCGGGGACAGCCTCCGCACCGCCCTCCTCACCTCCTCCGGAGAGGTACAAGGCTCCTCGGGGGTGGATGATGGGAGAGGGGCTCCCCCACAGCCCTGGCCATCACTCTCGGCTCCCCATGAGTCCTCACTTCCTCTTCTCCCCCCCACAGGAAGTGGCCATGCGGAAGTTGGTGCGCACCATCGTGGTCAATGATGAGGACGACGACGATGAAGACGAAGACGGTCTCCACCACCGTCACCACCATGTGAGTTCTGGGGAGCACCTTCCAAATCCATTATGTGGRAGGGACCCTCTAAGGTCATCTAGTTGTAATCTGTAGGTCGCRACCCCTTTAGCKCAGTGTTGGGGATCACAAAATATTTGGCAACGGTCGTCAAAGGATGACGATGATGAAGACGAAGACGGTCTCCACCACCGTCACCACCATGTGAGTTCTGGGGAGGACCTTCCAAATCCATTATGTGGGAGGGACCCTCCAAGGTCATCTAGGTCCCGACCCCTTTAGCTCAGTGTTGGGGCCCCCGAAATGTTTAGCAATGATCGTCAATTTACACCCATCTATGAGCAACAAGGTGCAGTGTTTACAATGGACTCTGCTGCAAATGCTTCAGCTGTACTCCACAAAAAAGGAAGACCAGCCTGTTCTTCAGCAAGCCACCCAAAAATTGATGGGTTGTCACTGATGTTGGAGTGCATACCTATGTGACATACCTATATTTTGCATACCTGGTGTCCCATAGAAATTAATTGGGTGGAACGGGGCCACGAGTGGGAGGAGCTTAAACGTCCCCCTCTGGCCCATGATTGGAGTTTTAAAGCCAAGAGCATCTTCGACCTACCCGTCTCTCTCCTCTCCCCTCCCTCCCTCATCCTGTCTATCTCTCTATATGATGAGCATCCTGTCATTCTCTACCTACCTATTTTATCTAATCATTCTCTACCTATTTTATCTAAT